TTTAGTTTCCTACTCTATTAGGATCTAATTCGAATGGATTTCAAGTCAAAAAGAGAGGGAGGATCTGCTTCTTCTTAAGCACTCCTGAAATTGATGAAGCATCACTGGAACATGCAGCCTTCAAGAAATTGTTAGGATTCAATTGCATGATCATTCTAGAGCTAATGGACATCAAAGAATTTTTCTTCAAAAGAAATGTTTTTGGAGTGCTTGGAGGTATTTTAAGCAAAAGATTTGGTGCTCAACCTTCGAAGGTGCTTAGCGGTGTTGATGGCTATGCCATTTTTATTTATGTAGAGATGATTTCCATTCAGACACACCGAATCATGATGTGGAAAATGTTGTTTTTATTTTTATTTTACAGGAATCTAAGGCAGTGAGGCAAGCCATGGTTGGAATTCTGGCTGTAAGTGCAATATTTTGTTTGTTGGAGTTCACAACTCCAGCAGCAAATGAGAATTTGTTTTACACTTTCTGTTTTGTCGTCACTTTTTTGAATGATGTTTTGAAAGAGTCCACACTTTTGCTCATTGTAGGCACCGATATGAGTACGTGGTAGGATATTAGATTCTTCACAGTGTTGAATGTTTAGCGTTTTTATAAGTCGATTGCAAAGACAAACACATTGTGCAGGCCACGATGGACAACCCATGGTTTGATCCTAAGTTCCTCCAACTTCTATTCTAGCTTAATCAACTAGCATCTAATTTGATTGACAGCCAGCCCAGTGGCAAAATCCTTCCCAAAATGGCAATGTAATCTAGCTCTGCAATTCGATCGTTACAACACTGCAAACCTTCATGAGATGTGTTGATAGATGTTTCAGCAACTGAATAGAATTTTCACAGCTTTAGTGTCAACTGACGCAAGATGAATGAGAAGCAATAGAGGGATGCTGTATATGATTTGGCAGTTTGATTCTCTACAGCTGATCTCCAAATTGGTATTGCACAGCAAGAAATTGACATCAATGAAAAACACTAATCCGAGCAAGAAATTACTATGTAATACTGAAATTCTTGAAAAGAAATTTTGTTTTGAAATACAAATTTTAATTCTAAATATGCATCACAAGTATTTGATTTCTTGATTTTTTTTTTTAAATTCTAACTTCAGGACATGCAAGCCAAAATTCTTAATTAATAAAATTCAAACAATACATTGTATCACAAGAACTGTCATTATATTAAAATATAATATATTATATTTATTTCACTATAACATCAAAAGTTCACTGAATGAACAATATTCATATTTCAATTGTCCATGTAAAACACCAACATTTGTTCAATAATATTACATACATTAGCCAAAGTTTTAATATATGTATACATATAGTATTAAAAATATTTAGTGCTAAATGATTTCTTTTCTGAAGAGTAAATATATATATATATATATATATATACATATACATATACACAGACACACACACAAATGTATTTCAAAAAATAAAAATAAAAACCAAGATTACAGAAACCATGTTAAATCAACTTTTTGATTAATGTATGTTCTTTTTAAAAATCTAAAATATAGATCACTCACAGAATAAAACCAATTAAGATCTGATCAATTATCAGAATGTAATGATAAAAATATGTTGCTCAATTGAACAAATTGATATTTTGGATAATTATCCTTTTTTTTTCAATCAACTATTAAAATATAACATCCATATGAAATTTATTAATCTTATATAAATATCTTATATTAAACAACTCATGAGAACAAATACATGGGATAAAAACGTGGCCAACTGCATGGGTTTCCACTAAATACTTTGTTATTGTTCTAAAGCAGTTGATCATTCCTTTAGAGACATTCGAGATATTGATCACCTATTTGGAAGAGCTACAATAGTTTTTAGTGGAGATTTTTGCCAAATATTGCCAATGATCGTAAAAGAAACTTAAGAAGAAATTATAGCAGCATCTTTTTGACATTTAATACTTTGATTTCAAATTAAAAAAATCTATACATTAAAAAGAAAACATGAAGTTGAATATAGGAGCACTTCAAGCAAATATCAAGTTTGCAATTGGCTTCGTCAAGTATAGAATGTACATACATGTTGTATATATATATATATATATATATATATATATGGTGGTGCATATGAATTCTATATGGTTTCTTTATTATTGGCTAATATTTTTATTTGTCACTTATTAGATTGGAAATAGTACAAACTTTTGCTCAATAATGTAGTTATTTTTTTAATCACATGATTATTGATCAACAATTAATGTCATTTATTGATGTTATTTATCCAAACCTGGTAGAAGATGGTGTAGCAAATGATGCCTTTTAAAGAGATAGAATCATTTTATATGTAATAAAAGATGATGGAGAGGATATTAAGAAGAAGATTATGGCCATATTTCTTAGAGAAGAACATGAATATGTAAGCACTAATGAAGTTATTGTTGAAGATGGTGTTGATAATAATAATGTTTATCAAATTGAATTCATCAAGTGACTTAATCTATTTGGAATGTCCAAATGAAGGCTTTGTCTTAAGATTGATACTTTGGTGATGCTTCTAAAAAAATATTGTTTCTTGCTTAGGACTTTGCAATGGAACCCGGTTGATAATTATATGAATAATGGATTGAGTTCTTAAAGTAAGAATTATTAGAAGAAATTTGCTAGAAACTTGATGTTTATTCCATAGATTACATTTTCTATAACAAAAGAACTTCCATTTATTCTAAAAAGAAAGCAATTCCCAATCTATCTTGCATTTGCAATAACAATAAATAAATTCCAAGGACAATTGGTGAAGCACATTAGTTTGGATCTACAACAACCTATTTTTTTCCATGGTCAACTTTATATAGTACTCTCTTGGTGCACTTCCTCATATTCTATCAAGATTCTTCTTACTAAAAACGAAAATTTAAATTCCATGCTAAATTATTTTTTTTCAAAAGTTTTAATTAAATAAATATCAATAATTTATTTTTTGTATTTTTAATCTTTAATTTATTTATTTATTAAATTTAATACATTTTTATATGCCTTAATATATTTTTATGATTTTTTAATGTAATTTCTTTTTAATATTTTCACAAGTAATTCCTTGAACAAAATTAATTACTTTTTTTGTATATTATCTATGACAATGGCACAAATTTACCTATCTTACTTCATAGCTCAAAGCTCCATTCTATATTTTATTTCTTTCTATTTGTATTATATTATATTTGTATTTAAAAAATATTCTTTGGCTCAAAAAATGCTCTATTTGAGTTACACTTTCTATGGCAATAACATGGATTCATCTAATACAAACTTAAATCTTCTCAATCTTTATACTTATCAACTCAAAATAATTGCCTAAAATTTCAAAGAAGTGATTACTTTGGGTTCATCTTCGTCTTCCTCTTCTTTCTACTTTTTTACATGTTTTTAGTTAATCTTGTAGGCAACTCTTGGAATAAAAGCCTAATTTCAAAACAACAAGAAAGTTGTTAAGTAAATATTTACACAATTGCTAAGATTTAGGGCCGGAAACATAACATGATATACTACTCTTCAATTTGAGATTTGTAATAGATTCCACGTGTAAGAGAAGAAAGGAAAGAATTAGAACGTATATTAAGGAGGGTCCTAGAAAGTTTTGAAAAATGGCTGTTAGGCTACATCAATCAAACATTGATTCAACTTCTATTCAAATGTACCCATTATTTTATAAAATGAACTTCTTTTATGTAAAAGAAGAAAGAGGAGTGGAGGTGTTGAAGGATCCTCATGATTTGTTGGTTGAAGATACAAACGTTTCAGAAATGTGGACTTAAGATTGTCTAACCTTAGACTAGTGCTAAAACCCTATCCAGGCCAGTAGCTTGAAAGAATAAGATTTTACGATGGTTCCAAATTTTCGATGATGAAAAGCCACCTCTGTGTGTGTGTGTTTATATATATATATATATATATATATATATTAACAACTCAATTAGAGTGGCCTAGCTTTTACTGTTCTCATACTTTAAATATCTGTCTATGTGATGCTCTGACTTGTGTCGAAAATCAGGCATTTGTGGAGTAACAGGGTCCTTCATATCATCAAAGAACAGGAGGATCTTTAATATAAATGAGTATAGTATCTTATTTGTTAATTTATTTTGAATAAAAGCAGTGTTCATTGTGGGTAGTGTGACTAAATAATCTTTGAGTTGTACGAATGGATAAAAACATTAAAATACATGACAAATTTTTTAATGCATGACATCCTCATATTCTCAATGTTATCTAAAACGCACCCAAAAATGTAACTTCCTAACTCCATCCACAGTTGACATAACTAAGTTCGTTTATAATCAATCTCCCTCAACACTTTTCATTACAAAATGTTAACCTTTTGATTACTCTCAAGTATGACAATAGTGACTGACTTCTTTAACCACTAAACCATCCACACCCCTACAAACACATATTGTAATAGATTCACTAAGAGTTTCCTTTGTCCAAATAAATAAACAAATAAATAGTTATCGAGCCAAGGATGTGTGCATGGCATGCAAAATTGCTGAGTTGGAGAAACTCAAGCAAACGACATGCCGAAGCATGATCTCAGGCTCTACAGAAGTGGTTAGTCTGCCAGATTGCGAACAAAAAAAGAGTGGGCTCCAGCCGGCGATGCGATGCTGATCCTTCGAAGCATGCACCCCCCAAATTGATGAAATAACCTCTGATTTCCTCACCAAGTGAAATCTACGGAGTCCCCCGATTGCGGCTCATAAATTTTTGCCTTGAATGATTCCGAGCATAGTTCCAATAAGAGTGTCAGCTTTTGAACGAAGTGAGGTGACTTTGCAGTTAGGGGGGGGGGGGGGGGGGTGGGGAAATCTGCTGCCGATGTCTCTGACGGCGTGGCGCTGGAATCTAGAAAAGAAAAAAACAAAGAACAATACTATGTAATAGTTTTCGAGGGGGCAGTATCCAGGACCTTGGTGGTTACGCCCAGAGAAATTATACGTACCCGAGATCGGAGATGTACTCATGGCCATCTTCCACTTTATCGAGATGAGAATTTGCTGCTGACTTAGTTGATACACTTCGTGATGCTGTTGTCGAAGCAAAGACTGGTTTGCCTCGGCATGACTTTGATCGTCCGCTGTTGTGTTGTACATCCTCTTGCAGATTCCGGCACCGTGTCTCTGTCGTTATCCTCGGTTACGGACTCCTCTCTGCATGTCGCAATCGAAGCTTGCAGAGGTCTCGTGAGCGAATGTAAGGTCTGTAGTTTGTGAGTTGAATGGTGCCGATTGCATGTAGCCAGCGGTCTTCTTCACCAAACCTCTTTCGAATGCGTCGATGACCGCAGTTCCTAGATTTTCTGTGTTGAGGAGTTTTATGCAATGTTTGCACTTACATGCTGAAGTCCTTGCTTGCATTTTTCCCGAATCTGCCACAATTTTAGTATTTCGACTTGGGGCCAAAACATCTTACATAGCAGGTTTTTTCATCATTTGTTTCTGATAAAGGCGACCTTGCGATCAAACATCGTTCCCGTCTCCTCTGGCTCCTGCGTTTGCTTTGCACTGTTGAGCCTGTCCTGTGTCAGTCGTTGCAGTTTGCCATGTGATCGTGCGAGGAGATCGATGCGTAGTTGAAGTGTTTCCAAAGCTGTCGTCAACTCGGAGGTCCTCGGAGCTTCAGAATCTTGTCTTCGATCTGACAGTGATTTTCTAGTTATCTCAATGGCACTCTGTTCCAGCCATTTGTTGCTCGTTTTAGTGCACGTTGGTGATGTTGTGGGGACTCCTCAAGCGGGGAGGAGCTGTTTGCAACTGAACTTCGTCCCTTTGGTGCATTACATACGCTTGTTTTATGCATTAAGTACTTTTGCAGTATCAATTAAAAGGTTGACGTGGTCAATTGCAGAGCAGTATGACGATCGGTGAAGACTTCATGGAGCCGCTTAAAAACGGTGATGTTTACCCTCCATCGATCACCCCAACGGTGTTTACGGTCGTAGATAATTACAGTTCAGTAATTCGAACATTGAGCGATGGACTCGGCAACAACCCAGTCGGCCATGACGTCGAGGCGAAGGGCATGTCGAAGTGGGTGTGGGGAGAGGTACGAGAGCAGCTCTGGTTGGCAGGACCCATCATGGTTATGTATGCGATGCAGTACATAATGACTATGGGGGGTGTTGTCTTCGTGGGTCATCTCGGAGCTTTTTCTCTAGCTGCGATGACGTTGGCCAACTCCTTCTGCGGCATCACTGGCTACACCATACTGGTAAAAACAACGGAGATTTCCTGATAATCCGATGCAGTTCAACAAAAGGAACAGGGCGTTCATTTGTAATTAACTTTGCAAATGGATTCCTTCGATGATAAAAAGAACAAAAAAACAATGTTTCCTTCAGTGTCTCCGACCTGATCGATTCATGATCGTGTGTTGCAGACGGGATTGGCAAGCGCCCTAGAGACGTTATGTGGCCAAGCCCACGGAGCGAAGCAGTACGACCTGCTAGGAATCTACTTGCAACGAGCGGTTTTCATTTTGACTCTTGTAGCCTTGCCCATCGGCCTTGTCTGGCTCAACATGGCCCGCATCCTCGTCGCCGTGGGCGAAGACCCCGTAATTGCCGAAGCTGCACAAACCTTCACTTATTTGCTGTACCCGATCTTGATCATGTTTGGAGTACTGATGCCGCTCATTAAGTTCTTCCAAACTCAAGGAGCAGTGTTCCAGTTAATGGTTTCCATGGGACTGGTCGCAGTATTACATGTGGGACTTTGCTGGCTTTTCATCGACATAGTGGGTTTTGGCCTCCATGGTGCAGCCATGGCGATGAATATATCTATCTTCATTAATTTATGCCTTCTCTTTGCGTTCGTAAGATTTTCTCCTCGATTTGAGAACACATTTACCTCATTCTCAATGGAAGCGTTCAAGGACTTCGGTGAATTTTTACGTCTCGCTGTGCCGTCGGCGACGATGATGTGGTATGCTCTTATCTTTTTCTCAACTTCTTTTGTATGTCATCTTGGGTGGGGTTTTTTTTTATTCATAGATATATATATATTTATATATTCTCTTACTTTTTGAATGGAGAGCGTAGCTAACAAACGCTATTGATGATTTGTCCATGCCCATCTTAGCTTGGAGACATGGTCTTATGAGATTCTGACGCTGTTGTCGGGGCTGATTCCTAACGCCAAACTAAACGTCTCATCTTTCACCATCTGGTTAGTCGTCTACTTTTATCCCTCCATTTCGTGCTGAATTCGTGTGTTAAAATCTCCAGATGTAATCTTTATCAATTTCGTAAGCTAGCGGTGCCATGGTTGCTGATTCATGCAGTTTCGGCCTGCTTTCATTAGCGAACCTGACTGCGCAGGCTCTCGGCGTCGCAACCAGGTACCTTCAGAACACTTAACATTCCTTAAGACATTGTGTGGCAACAGGACAGAGTTTCCATTCATAGTCTGCGAATCAAAGAGCAGTGTTAAAGAAAATCCGAATTGGGTCACGACGTTTATGCATCCAACACAATCGTGCTAATAAATTGGGTGCGGTTGGTCGTTCGATTGAGTTAATTTTTACTTCTTTTACCGCGCTGTTTGTAGTGTTCGAGTCTCGAATGAACTTGGAGCAGGAAAGGCACATGCAGCACGCTCCGCTGTGGCTGTATCCGTGTCTATTGGATTAGCAAATGGTGTATCTGTGGCCAGTTCCATCTACTTACTTCGAGACGTTTGGGGGAATGCCTTCACCAGCGACTTGGAAGTTTCGCAGCTCGTGGCTCACACTGCACCATATCTCGCAGTACTCGCCGTTCTCTATGCCTGCCAAGCCGTTCTTTCAGGTGTGTTGGCATTTCTTTCAGGTCCAAGCACGCTTTGGAAAGGTTTCTATTCAGAAGAGGTAAGCAGAATTAAGGTAACAGGGCGATGATTAGCTCGAAATCACCCTGATAACTATTTTCAGGAAATACAAGTTCTTGGAAATTCTTATGTTAATAGTTGTAGGTGACCAATTTATCTGCTGTACTGAATTGCAATAAACTGCAGGAGTGATGAGAGGTGTTGGATGGCAACGTGCGGGTGCTATTGCTAATTTGGGAGCCTATTACGGTGTTGGGTTACCCACCGCGCTGATATCAGTATTCTTGTTCCGGTCTGATTCAAAGGTAATATCAAGAACTCCAAATTTGTGCCATGAAACACAGTGGATTGTGGCTCATCTTGTTTCCAGTTTCAACCCGATGCTGTATCAACGGCGACTTGCTTGCGGTGTATGCCAAACTCCATCTTCACCCCTAGCACTATCGTGCACACAAGTAACGAGACTGGCTGCACGATGTGAGACTGATCAAAATGCTCTCGACGTGCACTTCTAGGGTTTGTGGCTGGGTATGGGTGTCGCCCTTCTGACACAAACCATAATCCTCATCAGCATCATTCTCAGCACAGACTGGGATAAGCTGGTACAGATTCAACTCAACCTCACGCTTCTACCTCACATACACTACAAACAAGTGATCTTTGAGATGAAACAAGTCCTGACAAGCAAATCTGAGACAGTTTCCTGATGATTTTGGGGCTATGTGGTTGCAGGCACAGGAAGCAGTGCTGCGGTCACATTCATACAAGTCACGGCTACCCGTTTCGGCACCGCCTATGCTCAAGGTTTGTGTCACTTTTCTACACGTTAAAAAAGTCTATTTTGTACTGATCATGCGATTGACTCTGCATGTGGATTTTCACCGACTGGGTAGTGATCAGTACTGCCACCCATGGCAAAACCATCTTTGAACAAGAAAAGCCACTTCTCACAATCCTCTTTTGCATTGGTCATCTCGTTGCAGCCCCTTCTAGAGGAGGAGGAGCAATTACCAAAGAGCTTGGAAGACTGCCCTCGAGCGTTGTAAATTCATCACCTTTGTTGAGTCCTAAATCGAATATTCTTCATAGTATGAAAGCTTGTGATAAAAATATATAAAATCTTATAATTATTTCAAGATGTCGCTCACAACTTGCATTTTAATTTTTAATATTTATAGTTTTTATATTATTTATCTTTTTATTTTAAAAAATATTCTATAAATTTGAATTTAAAATAATCTAAATAATTTTTAATGATATGTAATAAAATTTCTAGTTTATTTTATTAAAAAAATAGTTTATATATATTTTTTAATTTTTGAATTTTAATTTTAAGAACATATTCTCAATATATATATGTGTATTATCATAATGTGTAATATGTTAAGTTATTTGTGCTATTAGTATATAAAGCCAATCTTAAAAGATTTTGATATTTCATGATAAATCTGTATATATATGTATGTCACGGCCATAATCATGTGAGCTAATAATTACATATAGAAATAGGTAGAAGTAAGTAAAAGTAGATAAAAGTAAGTTAATTCTATAATATTTAATATAGAAGCTTCCTAGAAACTTCCTAGACGCTGTTTTGACTTCATAGGTGTCTTTAATTGACTTTTTGGATTAGAAATGTGATCAACAAGTTGGCCATGTGCCACACATGTTGTTAGTTTGAAGATCAAGCTAACTATGTGGCCCACACGTAGAAAAACTTGCCTTGTAAGTCAAGGCATGTGTCCTACAAAGTCAACACATATTGGAGGTCCTATAGAACGTCGCCACGTAGCCTCTAGTTAGATAGTATATATAGAGACAAGAGTGAAGGCTTCTTCACTCTTGTCAACTCCTTTCTTGCTTCTAGTCCAGGTTCAAGAGTCTTTAGTTTCTTGTCTTGTGGCAATAGTCATTCCAGTTTCCTTTTAATATACGTACTTGTTTATATTTTGACTTATTATATCGAGATAGCCTTTTGGTATATATTTTCCCTCATCGAGTCTTTGTCCTTGACAGATTGACAAGAGTACACTTACAATATCAGAGCTTTGTTTTTTCTTGAGTAAGAGTGGATTACCCCTTTCTCTTGACAAGACATAAGCGTATTAGAAGTTTGCGGATTACCCACTTCTAAACTGATATTGTTCTTAGTATCTTCTTTGTTATCAAGTCTTTCTTTTCTTTTGTCATGAGCAATATCAAACAAATTTTTCTTCTTAGTGTCATTATGGCAGAGCTTGTTGAAATGAAGAGTGCAATGGCACAAATGCAAGAGCAAATGAGGGAGTTAATGCTTGCGATGCATCAACTCAATTCACCAACACAGGAAAGAACAAGAATAGCAGAAAGTGGAGATATAGAGATGATCGGAGCTGCTTCAACATCTACAACAAATCACGTTCCTTCTCCAATTGTACAACACTCTATAAGTACTAGAGAACCAAGAATTGCCTTACCTGAGAAATTTGATGGTACGAGATCAAAGTTTCGAGGGTTCATCAATCAAGTACAATTGACAATTGAACTTCAACCGCAAAGCTATCCAACTCCAGGATCACAAGTCAGGTTTATTGGCACTCTACTTTTTGGTTCTGCATTATCGTGGTTTTCGTCTTTTCTTGAACAACGAAATCTAATATTGGACAATTTGGAAGCTTTTTTGGCGGAGTTTCGATCTATGTATGGTGAACACGATGTAACTCGTGTTGCAACAAATAAGATCCGAATTCTGCGACAAGAAAATCGCTCAGTAACAGTATATGCTTCACAATTTCGACAACTTGCAATTGACATCAAGTGGGATGATGCTGCACTCATCAGTCAATTTCTTTATGGATTGCAATACAAAGTAAAGAAATTGATGCTCAACTTACCTGATCCTCAAACTTTGAGTCAAGCAATCGATTTTGCGATAAAATGTGATAATCGACTTTTTGAATTTCGATCTGAGAATCATTCACGGGAACCTCAACATTATTACTCAATGGCAACATCAACATCTTTGCCAAACGTACATTCAGAAGTAGAAGACATGCAAATTGACGCGGTACGTTTTAAACCTCTAACTGAGCAAGAAAAGATTCGTCGTCGTCAAGAAGGATTAGGTTTATATTGCGGAGAACCTAAGCACACTGCTCAACATTGTCCAAAGAAACGACGCAACTATAAAATGAGGGGTACGACGGTCAAAGAAGACAACATGTCGGAAAACGGATTCGTCCAGCTACAATAGGGACCGTGCAGCTGGAACCTTATACAATTCCTAATGAAGGTCCTATCCTCTCCTCAGAACCCTCTCCTTGTTTTATAATAGACTTATATTTAGGACCTAAGAATTACAAAGCCTCTGCTTTATTAGATTCGGGAGCCTCAGCATGTTTTTTAGATGAACAATTTGTTAAAAGTCGTAAAATACCCTTTGTACAGAAACCTAAACCAGTACATGTAGAAGTCATAGATGGTCGTCCCTTGTCTTCTGGAGATGTCACTCATGAAACTCATCCTATAAAAGTAACAATAGACGGTCATGATAGCTACATAGCTTTTAACATAATTAAATCCCCGTCCAATCCAGTTATTTTAGGTTTATCCTGGCTAGAAAAATATAACCCTCGAATAGATTGGAATTCACATAAACTTGACTTTTCCCAGAGCGTTATTAATAGTTCTACAAACCAAGTAAAAAATTATAAGTCTAGTATAGTAAAACCCGTACTGATAGGTGCAAAAGCATTTATACACGCAGCAAAAGAAAGATCAACTTTTGCTATTTATGCTGCACCTATTTCTGAAAACGTAAAGACTTCAAGTGGCATTCCAAGTCAATATCAGGAGTATCAAGACGTTTTTGAGAAAAAAAATGCAGATATTCTTCCTGAGCATCGTCCATATGATTGTTCAATCGACCTCAAGGAAGGAACTCAGCCACCATTTGGACCAATTTACAGTTTATCGCAAGATGAGATGGCTGAACTCAAGACATATATTGACGAGAATTTAGCGAAGAATTTCATACGCCATTCAAAATCTCCAGCAGGAGCTCCAATTCTATTCGTAAAGAAAAAAGATGGATCTTTACGAATGAGTGTTGATTATCGAGGACTCAACAAGATCACAATCAAGAACAGGTATCCATTACCTTTGATATCAGGACTCCTTGACCAGTTGAATCAAGCTAAGATCTATACAAAAATAGATCTAAGAGGAGCATATAATCTAGTACGGATCAAAGAAGGAGATGAATGGAAGACTGCGTTTCGAACCAGGTATGGACATTTCGAATACAATGTCATGCCCTTTGGACTCACGAATGCACCAGCTGCTTTTCAACATCTCATGAATGATGTATTTCGTGAATTCTTAGACAATTTTGTCGTCTGCTATCTAGACGATATCCTGATCTATTCTAAGAACATCGAAGAACATAAAATACATGTTCGTCAAGTATTACAAAAACTTAGAGATACAGGATTGTACGCCAAGATGGAAAAGTGTGTATTTCACACTACTCAAGTTGACTTTTTAGGATACATCATTTCAAATGATGGTCTCATGATGGATTCTAAGAAAGTCCAAACAATCATGGATTGGAAGATTCCAAGGACGGTAAGAGATGTCCAATGTTTCTTGGGATTTGCCAATTATTATCAGATCTTCATCAAAGATTTCTCACGAGTTGCAGCTCCACTTACACGCTTGACTAGTAAAGATAAATTTCAATGGAATCAAGAAGCAGAAGCAGCATTTGAAGCCTTGAAGACATCGTTTGTCTCTGCACCAGTCTTATATCGTGTTGACTTTTCCAAGGCATTTTTTATGGAAACAGATGCATTAGATTTTGTCTTGGGTGCAATTTTATCACAAATGGGAACAGATGACAAACTTCATCCGATAGCTTTTCATTCAAGAAAATTCTCAGCAGCCGAGATCAATTATGAGATCCACGATAAAGAACTTCTTGCGATCGTGGATTCCTTTCAAGAATGGCGTCATTATCTAGAAGGTGCTTCTAGTCCAGTCACTGTGTATACAGATCACAAGAACCTCGAGTATTTCATGTCAGCACGCGTGTTGAATCGTCGTCAAGCTCGTTGGAGTATGTCTTTGTCAAGATTCGAGTTCATTATCACTTATCGGCCAAGAAAACAACAAGGTTTATCCGATGCCCTATCTAGACGTTCTTATTTTGCACCAAAAGAAGGAGATGCAGCTTTTGAGCAACAAAGAACGGTCCTCTTGAAACCGGAGCAATTTCATCTCCGAGCAATGAAATCAACATTGACTGTTGATTCAACTTTTCTCAAGCAAATCCAGTCCAATATGTCCTCAGACCCTCTTGTTTATGATATCGAGAATAATTCTTCCAAGTCTCATGATCCTTCTAAGTTCGAGTTCAAGAATAATCTATTATATTTTGAAGGACGCCTATATGTTCCAGAAGGAGAAGCACGTTTATGTGTTCTTCAAGCACATCATGACTTTCCAGCAGAAGGGCACTTTGGATATAATAAGACTTTGGAACTCATATCAAGAGATTTTTGGTGGCCACAAATGTGGAAGTCAGTCAAAGACTTTGTACAATCATGTGATATTTGTTCAAGATCAAAAATTCCTCGTCATCGACCTTACGGACTTCTTCAGCCATTACCTATACCAGAACAACCATGGTCTTCTGTTTCTATGGATTTCATCACAGATCTTCCAAGCTCAAGATCTTATGATTCTATATTTGTGATAGTAGATCGTTTCACCAAGATGGCACATTTTGTGCCATGTACAAAATCTATCACAGGTGAAGAAACAGCTAAGCTTTTCATTGATAATATCTATCGCTATCATGGATTACCTAAAGATATCATATCGGATAGGAGAACTCAATTTGTGTCAAGATTTTGGAGGACCCTTTTCAAGATTTTAAAAGTGGACATAAAGCTATCTTCGGCTTTCCATCCTCAAACTGATGGACAAACAGAGCGCGTAAATCAAGTCTTGGAGCAATATTTAAGGTGTACTATCAACTACCAACAAGATGATTGGACAACCCTTCTGCCATTGGTAGAGTTTGCTTATAATAATGCGGTACATTCTTCCACGCAACAAACACCTTTCTTTGCCAATTATGGCTATCATCCACGAC